CTTAATATCTGAACGTAAGTATTTTAAATCCTCAGTGTTGAATTTAGATATTTTAAAATGATTCATTCTGTATCCTTTCAGTCCTGTTACTGTTATAGAAATATTCTGATTATTGCTGGTTTTACACGCTTCAAGCACAAAGAAATGAGCACTAAGTTATGTTTATAATTAATATAATATATAACAAAACATGTTTTTTTTTGTTTAAATAATAAAAGAAATAAATGTGAAATAAAACCATTATAGTAAGTGTAAAAATGTTCCAGGTATCACACCTGCAGCAGGTTTTATACAGCTGTAATAAAACAAAACACTCACACTTGAGTCTGCCGCATGAAGTCTGCAAAGCGCTGATCTCTGGAACACAACTCAATGATTCTGAGACGCTCCTGGATCTCCTGCAGAGAGGTCAGAGGTCAGTGCACAGAGATCAAGTTTATGTAAGAGCCCAGCAGGAGGAGGAGGTAAAAATAAATGTCTGTGTAGTACAGACATCCTGCTGAGGCTGAAATCGTCTGAGCCAAAAAGACGTCACAACAATCAGGCAGCTTGGACTGAAGAGTCCAACTGCTCGACTAAACCATGAAACTGGAGGCAGAGCTCCGAGGAGGGGAGGAGAAAGTCCCCTGATGAAGAGGAGTTCTCTGGAAAGCTGTGACACAAATAAAACTATTAGACAGACTTTAGACTCTTTATGCAACAGAGTGTTTACCAAGCAGGAGCACTGACAGAAATACAGAACCTACAACTGATACGTTTTATTCATGCAGCTTCGTATTTCATCATGTCACATGATCTTTATCTACACCTTAAAAAATTAAACTTTCAATAAATAGGAAAAGTTGGGACACTATGTATAGTGCAAATAAAAACAAAATGCAATGATTTGCAAATCTTATAAACCCACCTTTTATCTACAATACTGCACTGTCCAGACAAATAAAAGACCACCACCTGGGTTTAACTAAGCAAATGGTTAAATACTGTATGGGTAACTGGGAAAGAATGGGAGAAAACTTCTAAAGAGATTATTGAAACTACTAAAACTGAGTTAAGAAATGTCCAACACATTAATAAAAACTAGAAGGACAGTGGGGAAACATCATGTTGGAGGAAGGAATGTGGTCGAAAGTAACCTTGAAGGATCACGATTGGAGATCACTGAAATGTTTGGTGAAATCAAATCGGAGAAAGACAACAGTAGAGTTCACGACCTTGTTTAATAGTGAAAGTAAGAGCATTCTCACACACACACACACACACACACACACACACACACACACACACACACACACACACACACACACACACACACACACACACACACAGTGTGAAGTGAACTCAAGGGATTGGGACTAAACAACTGTGCAACTGACAGAATACCACTCATCAGTGAGGCTAATGGTGAAAAACAGCTTCAGTTTGCTAAGGAGCATAACAACTGGACTGGAATGGAAGAAGGTCATTGTGGTCTGATGAGTCTGTTTGATTGAGGCCAGCTGACTACCTGAATACAGTGATCCCATGTTTTTCGCGGGGGTTGCGTTCCAAAAACAACCCGTGATAGGCGAAATCCGTGAAGTAGTTAAGCCAGTACACTGGGTTCCCACCGAATGCGTTTTGAGCAGCAAAAATGCGCTCAACACGTTGAACGCACTGCAGCGTGTTCGGTGTTGAACGCAGCAGTGGACTAAACACGTGTCTGAAGAGGGAGGAACACCGGTCTGTCTTTAATAATGGTTGAAATAAAGATAAAATAAAGAAAATGGCTTTGCTTTATTTACTGAAGAGCAAGCAAACGTTGCGCACACCAGATAATTAATTCACCAGATAATTTAGAGCCGGTTTGTTCGGTTAGTTTCGCCACTCCAGGAGCTGCAAGCTGACTGACTTACTTATTTATTTATTTTGTCCCGAGCTCAGCGAGCTGCTGACACATGTATGAAATTCAGTTCCCATGTGAAAATCTGTTCCCCCCTGCGCCTCCCACATATTAACCATTTAGGATTGGTCTGACGTTATACCTGGACCATAGGGGAACTGGATTTTGCACATCACCGGTCCAGAACTTATTTCTAGCGGCAGAACAGGTTGGAAGATGGTTATTTGGTGTTATTTATTGTTTTTTTTAAATCATCCTACAGGCTCTGACATGTTGATAGCCTGTTGAGCACAGAGACTCTTTAGCCAATCAGGACGAAGAACACAATGCACTGTGAAAAAAAAAACTGCACAAAAAAAAATCCGTGAAGCAGCGAGATCGTGAAAGGTGAACCGCGTTACCCCTAATTTACACTACTTGCGTTTTGTCTCCACTCCGCTCCGGTCCGACCTCAGCAGCAAATACGCACCCATTATAACCAATGAGAGTGTTTACACTGGCTGCACACGGCTGCGCAGGGCGGCCGTGAGTGGACGGCGATACGTCAAAATTAGAACATATCCTATTTTTGACGGATGCCAGAGCAGCGCCGGAGTCAATTTTTAAGGATTATGTCGCACCAACGGGAAAAGAAACAAGCACAACATCTGTATTTTCAAAATAAGACACTATTCGGTGGAATAATTTGTCGGAATAATGTCGAAATTGCAGCTATGTTAATAAATATACGGATATATTTCTACACAAATGCTGTTAGAATGTATCGTTCTGTTTGGGAAGCAGATGGAAACACGTAGCATGAATAATATGTGTACACACACGATACACGTGGATTTTATTTTGAAATCAGAAGTTTCAGAAAGCCGACAGCGAGACAGTTTCAACATAGTATCAAAAGTCTTTATATCATTGTTTTCAGCTGTGTTTGGAGTTTGTCTTTGACAGAATTAATTACTTTTTGCTCTGATTTCCACATTTATCACTGAATTTATTGCACAATCTCCTTCCTGCACGTCTGTCAGACCGGAGCTGAGTGGAGGTAGTGTAAACTGGACTTGAAACGGTGCAGCTGCGACCTGCGCAGCGGAGCGGAGACGGAACGCAAGTGATGTAAATCTGGGGTTATAGCAATGGATCACTGTATACAAAATGACCAGGTTATTCCAAAGGATTTTTTTCCCATGATGGTACAGGCATAATCCAAGATGACGATGCCAAGATTCATCGAACTCTGTGAACGAGTGGTTCAGGGAGCATGAGGCATCATTTTCACACATGGATTGGCTCCACAGAGTCCAGACCAGAGCTCCAATGAAAATCTCTGGGATGTGCCTGAGAGGACTTTGAACAGTGGTCTGAATCTCCCGTCATCAGTATAAGGTCATCAGTATAAGGCCAAAAATTAAAACTCTGGATAGAAAAAAAACTGTGACATTGCAGAAGCTTGTGGAAATATGCCACAGAGAATGTGTGCCATAACTAAAGCTAAAGGTGGCCCAATAAACTATTAGTGTGTGTGACCTTTATTTTTGACCAGGCAGTGCAGTATACAAAAAAATTGTTCAGTTTTTTGAAAAACATATTGAATTTGTTGGTAACAAAACATTTGTTGGTCCAGGATCACCAAAAGGCTGTAAAATTAAGTGGTATGAATAAAAAAAAATCAGCTGGAGGATCGTTTTACAACTAATAGGGTTAATCATCAACAGGTCAGTAAGAGGAAAGCATATAAAACGAGCATTTTAGAGAGACTGAGTCTCTCAGAAGTAAAGACAGGCAGGGGTTCAGCACTCTTTGAAAAACAGTTTCTACAAATACTGGAACAATTTCAGAACATTGGGCCTCATGCAAGAACCGTTCGCACGCACAGATTTGTTCTTAAGTTGTGCGTACGAGTGATTTAGGAGAATTTGTGGCATTCACCAATGTTTTCGTATTCTAAGATTTTCTTCAGATACGAACAAAATTCATGAGTGGTCCAGACCTGTCATATATTTTATGAGCAGTCAGTCTGCTGTTATCCAGACGGGTTTTCTTCCCTAATAACTTTATATTTCATTAGTTTGAAGATATTTTGAGTTGAAAATAAATTACACTCCATAATTATGTTGACAATAGGCTATTCTGTTTGAATTAGAGTTATAATTTTAAATGTAATAATTTAGACTAACAATATAAATTGTCTGTTCGTCCGTTTCCCCCCGCTTGTCCGGGATCGGATCGCGGGGGCAGCAGCAGAGAGACCCCCCTCTCCCCAGCGACACCTTCCAGCTCGTCCTGGGGGACTCCGAGACGTTCCCAGACCAGAGGGGATACATAATCCCTCCAGCAAGTCCTGGATTTTCTCCAAAGTGCCAGACATATTTTGAAAACATTTTAAAATGCTTATTTCAGAACTGCAACTGAGACCACCTGCGACCGCGCAGCGCAAGCGGGGGGTGTACGGTGCGCAGCACTGCGTCTTCTGAATAAATGAAAATGATTTAACACAGTTGTTTATACTTTTAGCAGCTCTTTTTATTCCACAGCTGACCTGCTAAAAATGACAGATTTTCTTTTCTGGATCTCTGACAGACGGACTTCAATCTCTGAACTCGTAAAGTTCTTCTTTTTAATTTTCACTGTCATTTTTCATGAATGGACACTTCCTTGTATCTGAGGCAGGAAACATAGCCTTATATGGTGTTTTTGGGGTGGTAATTATGCTAATCTCCTCTCACGTGCACGAGCAGCTGGATACGAACAGGTGGAATTTACGCAGCTCATTTACACACTTTTCCTGAAGATAGAAGAGTTTGTTGAATCTGACGTGACATGTTCGTACGAACCCTTCGTACGAACAAAAGTAAGAGAAATTTAGGATAAGAATATGAACATGTTCTTGCATGAGGCCCATTGTTTATGAAATGGAAGATGCCACTCTAAATCAGCTTGTGGGTTGTTTTTAGTCATTTTTCTGTCTCTTCATTATAATGAAACCATAAAAATTAGCGAATGATCATTTCTTTGTAGATAACATACAAAATCAGACAAGAATAGAATTACTATTCCCAAGTTAATTCATGAAATCACAGCAAGTCAGATTTTATGCAAAGATGTTTTTTCTACCTCTTTAGTCAGTGTGGTGTTTTGGTAGATGTTTTGAATCTCTTCGTCACTCAGGTCTTTAGAGCCGTATTGGGGAAGGGTGGAGTCATAGCATTGGTAGTATGGCGGCAGATTGTCATCATAACGACGGTAGTACTGGGCAGAGACTGGGTCATTCTCAAACATCGGGTTGAACTTGGTGGCACGCTTCAGACTTGGAACACTTTCACCCCGTCTGGAAGGCAAGGTGGTTACATTTAAATGTGAATATTGTAAATAAATTATTATTATTTAGTTTCATTCTGAGCAAGAAATTTGAAGTTTTGGTTCACCGCAGTGGGTCCTCTGTGTCCTCGTCATCGTACTGCTCTCTGAGTGTTCGAGCCAGAAAGAAGATGATGCCACCAGCCACCAAAAGGAAACCGGCCACAGAGGCTATGGCGATGCCCACCACCAACGGCTCTGAGACGTACTCTTCGCAGTGCTCACCACGATACCACCAGTTCTCTCCAACCCGACACCTGCAGCATTGGAAAATTTTGACTTGATCTAACATGGTGTTTTTCAAGATGGTGGACATGTTCCAGACATAGCTTAAAACAGTGGTTCCCAACCCTGGTCCTCAAGGACCCCTATTCTTCATGTTTTACTTGTTTCCCTGATATTCAGGTCTTCAGAAGATTGTTCATCACTCATTCATTCAAACCAGGAGTGTCAAATCAGGGAAACATCTAAAACATGCAGGACAGGAGTTATTGAGGACCAGGGTTGGGAACCACTGCTTTAATAATACATGTTATCTGATTTATTATTTACAAATAAATGACAAAAAAATCGATGGCTTCCAGAGCCAACATTAAAAAACATAAAACTAAGTCAATATTATATTTTGAAAATGTCTCATCAAGCTCGGAGAAGCTCTTGAGGAGTGTGTCAACATTTAAAGCAGTGGTTGTCAACCCTGGTCCTCAAGGACTCCTAACCTGCATGTTTAGATGTTTCCCTGATTTGACACTCCTGTTTTGAATGAATGAGTGATGAACAATCTTCTGAAGAATCTGAAGACCTGCTGAAAAACAAAATATGAATGATAGGGGTCCTTGAGGACCAGGGTTGGGAACCACTGGCCTAAAAGATAGGCCCACTCACCAGTTGCTTGCAAGGGTAATCAGGTATTTAAGTTTCCTATTTGAAATAAAATGGTTTCCTGAGACTTTTGACTCACATTTTACTTTTGTATACTTACTTCACTGCTCATTTTAGCTATTAGTTTTTATTTTGTTTGTACTAGCAAATAAAGTTTTTTGCTAGTTCTACCTTTTAGCTACTAATACTTTTTAGCTTTTATCCACCATTTCTCCAGTCTTCACCTTTAGCTACTATTCTGCTGTTTTTAGCTTTCAGCTGAAGTTTTTGCTATTTTCATCATTAGCTAATGGGTTTGCTAATTTCACTTTTCTTAACTTTTTTTGCTGGTTTTATTGTAATAATGTTTCAGCTCCAATAAAATTGAACAAAGATTTAAGGTGTGTTGTAAAGACTGTCTAAACCCTCTCTTACCTGCAGATAGCACCCTTTCCAGGAATGATGTCACATTTGCCGTCATTAAGGCAGAAGTCGTGTTGGACCTCACAGATGCTCTGACATGGCAGGCCATCAACGCTCAGATATCCAGGATCACAGACACACTCAGCTTCGCCTGACCACTGATTCACCATACACTTGGAAAATTCATTGCAGGCCTGGAACTTACAGGGATCTGCCTGGTCACCTGAGAAACAACAGTAAAATCATTGGTCTTTTTAAATTACATTCGTACACTGATGGGACACACATCAGAGGCAGTGGGGGTTCAGTGTCTTGCCCAGGGACACTTCAACATGTGACTGAATAGTGTGTTACGAATCCCTCAACCGCTCAGCCACAGCTACCCCAAAAATACTTCTTTGCAATAAAATGCATACTAAGATGGTTTTTTGTCCCACACCTAGTTCTTCTTTTTGCTTTTTGAACCTCAACTTAGAACCTTCTTATGAACAGTGCCATTTTTCAACTGGTCTTAAAATTTTATCAGGAGTGTATTTACTGATTTGTTAAGAAATGTAAAATATTAACAATGCAAGTATTCCACTTTGAAATAAGAAAGTGAATCCTTGCATCCTAACAAATAAAATTAATTTTAACAATAGGCCAGTATGCTGCCTATTTCTTTGTGACCATTTTCTGTAAAAATAGACACAGTTGAAGCAGGAGTCATTTTGTTTTCGTACATTTTTTTCTTTTTTTTTCAGTGATATTTGGTCAACCGTACCACAAAAATGGCTGCACCGATCAACATGAAATTTGGCAGGACTGTAGATGAGTCTGACCTACACTGCACCAGCCAACGGTTTTACGATAGACCCCATATTTGAGGAGGGGGCTCCTTTCAAAGTGGAGGTGTCTGGACATGCAAAATCGCTTATAGCTCAGAAACTGTTGTACATTAAAGCTTCAGATTTCTTTTGTTGTTTAGCTCTGATGAAGCTCTATCCATCAGGCCCACCAATCAGTGACCCCCACCCCCTGGACCCCCAATTTATCTGAAAAAGGGGGTGTCTGTACATGCAAAAATACTTTTAACTCAGAAACTGTTCAACATAGGACCTTCAGATTTCTTTTGTTCTTTAGCTCTGATGAAGCTCCATCCATTAGGCCCACCAATCAGTGCCCCACCCAGACCCCGAATTTATCTGAAAAAGGAGTATTTGGACATACAAAAATGGTTATAGCTCAACAACTATTAAACATAGGAGATTCAGGTTTCTTTGGTTGTTTAGCTCTGATGTGGGGCTATCCATCAGGTCTAACGCCCACCCCACCCCCCACCCAAACCACTACAATTTTGGGATGCACCTAGTAGCATGACATTTATTAGGAATAAAGACTTCTGAGTTATGGTGCATTTGTGCGTGCGGGGGTCATTATGAAACCACTATGCGGTATCTAGTCTTTACTCACATCTTCCTTTCAGGGACCAGGGGTCACAGATGCCCATATCCAGCAGTCATTGTGTGAGGGGCAAGGTATACCCTGGACAGGTCACAAGTCCATAACTTTACACTCTATGTTGGACTGCATTAGCCAAATACATTTTGTATAAACTTGTATTGTACACTTTTTAGTGAGGTTCTAATCATGACCCCTACTTAGTCATTTTGTTTTCATATCATTCATTATTTTTTATTTACTAATAGTATTTTTGGTCAACTTTAGCACAGAAACAGCTGCACCTAGCAGAATGAAATTCAGTGGGAATATAGATGGGGCCTACCTACACTGCACTAGAAAACAGTTTTGTCATAGACCCCATATTTTTAGTGTGGGCGCAATTTGAAAATATGCTATCTGGACACACAAAAATGCTTATAGCTCAAAAATTATTCAACATAGAAACTTTAGATTTTTTTTGGTTGTATAAGCGCTGATGAAGAGCTATCATTTCATGACATCATTAGGTGTTTATATGCAACTGTCACCTAGCAGTAGCAAAAGAATCAAAACACATGACTGAAAATTGTTATTTCAAGCCTGTACAATCATAAACGCAATCAGATCTTGATGAAATTTGGCACAGATGTTGTCCTATCTGACCTTTATCAACTAAGAGTCCAACAGCACCAGTGGCATTATACTATCTTTCCAACTTCACACTATGTAGAACAAGAACTGGCACCAAGGTTCAACGCTTTTCTTCCATTCAGACTTTGAAGACCATTGCTCTTTGTCCACAGGTTTAACAATGTAGAAAGTGTGAAACTGAAATAAAATATAACAATACAATAACAACACAGACTATTGTAATCTTCGATACACACTGTTCCTCCAGTGTAACATAACTTACACTGACTATTTATTTAATTTTTAACCATGACTGCAGTCTGAACATGTGGCTTTGATAACATGTAAAAATTACAGAATAAACTTCTCTGATAGCAAAATACAGCGGGTAAAATAAGTATTGAACACGTCAACATTTTTCTCAGTAAACATATAAACATGTTAGTAACATGTTATTAGAGGTGCTAATAACATGAAATTTTCACCAGATGTCGGTAACAACTCAAGTGATCCATACATACAAAGAAATCAAACCATAAATGTCCAGAAATGAAGTTATTTGTAATAATGTGGAATGGCACGGGGAAAAAGTATTGAACACACTTGCTGAAATTTATCTAATACTTTG